CATGACTATTAGGGTTAAAAATTTTAGACACCTTGTCAATAAGCAAGGTACATTTATGGAGGACTGATGTTAACCACAAAGGCCACAAATGCCTACAGTGGTAAGTCATCAATTTACAAATGCAGGTCATGAAACCCTGTACCAATGCACACATTAACCCATGGACCAGGCATTATTGTCACTTTTTTACCTGGACCTGTGGAAGCAAATTCATCAAGCCTGACACTTCAGAAAAATGCCAGCACAGGACACAGCTCCTCAGTTGCAGAAAGAGGACATGAGCCTTTCCCCTGGGGGAGACACCATGAAGTAGGTCCATTTTTCCTAAGATTGAACTCTTGGGTGTCCAGCTTTTTTTGTTTTAAAGATTTATTTATTTATGCATATAGAATTGGGGTACAGGTCAGAGGTGTAGGGGGATGAGAGGCTTCACCAGCCAGAGAGTGGGGAGCAGAACAGGCAGATGGAGGAAGCATACTGCTGAGGGGAGCAGCGGAAAGGACAGGAGAGATCGGCTGCACCAGGTGGTCACCTCCAGGGCTGGGGATCGAACTTCCTCTGAAGAGGCTGCTGCCAGCTTGCAGTGCTGAGTCCTGACCCATTGAGCCACCAGGGAAGGCCGGGTGTCCAGCTTTTAATGTGCCTATGTTGGCTGAGGGACTAGCTTTCCTCAAGTTCCAAACAAGGAACCATCACCCGCGAAGAACAAAAAGCAAACAGAAAATCTCAGTGAAAGCAAGACTTTGGCTTCTAAACATTTCCCCATTTTATAGCTTCCTTGTGTTTTCAGATTCTTTTTTTTTTTTTTTTTGGCTTCCCTCAGTCAGCACACTCCCTGCATAGGTAAGCCAAACACAGTGGGTAGCAGCTCGTCCATCTTGGGGGCCAGATCTTTAAAGAGAAATCATATACAACATGTACGCACACGTACCCATCACTGTCAAGGGTAATTTAATAGAGTCTTGCTGAGTGGTCAGGGAGTCGAAGATGGTTGTCAGCATGTATGAATCTGAGCAGACAATTTTTGTTTTTCCTAAATCCCAAAGTCAAACTTCCAATATGATTTCTCTTTTTTGTAGGTGTGTTGGTGAAACTCCTAGCATAATGGGGGCGTGAACTGAAGCTATGGAATCAGGGACGCTCTGAATGTTAAGCTGGACCTAAGAAAGTAGACCCATTCCCTTCAACCACCTCACCTGTCAGGTGAGACAGGATTAAGTGGCCTTTGACCAGACCCGGTGCAACCCCCACCAAACACATTCCCTTATTTCAGAGGGCACCCAACACTCAGCCATCACTTCCCCTTGGGGGACCCAGGACTGAAAGGTCGTTTACATAAACTCAAACTTCCCCTTCACCCTCCCCAGCAGGGATAAATAAGAAAGTAACCCTTATAGGGAGAAGGAACCTATTCACTTCATTTTTTAAGGTAAAATGCAGAATGTGAATACCAACACAGAGCCATGAAGTTTTATTGAAGGTGAAGGAAAACAGAGACATGAAGAAGTTGAAGGGCAAAAAGCAGGTGAAAAGAAGTGTTCAGGCCCTGGGCCAGCCCCCAAAATGGGCTCCAAGAGAGGTGGTCACAGGTCCCCTTCACCCCTTCAACTTCCCCATCCCCCCAATAAGCATTGACCAAGGTGGTAAAATTCCTTGGCTGGAACTTCCTTTCTGTCAGTTATAGTTCCATGCACACCCCACTTCTCACTTCCCTGGCATCATCTGAAACCCTTTCAGAGACTCAGGAGTAACTATCCTCTGAGATTTTCCTGGTCTCCCCAAGCCTTTTTTAGTGCACTACGCAACAAAATTAAATGTGACACATATGCTATTATGGAGTAACTTTTAATTGCTTAATTAAATCAGAGATTTAAAGACGGAAAGATTCAAGCGTTTCCTTTGAATGAGAAATATAAGGATATGCCAAAATGGATGAGGTTACTAATCATGGAAGAAAGCCCTTCTTATTTACATATGATAAAAATGCAGGCCAGGACATTAAAAACAATAAGTACACTCTTTAAAATTTCAACTCAGTGTATTTATGAGTTTTTAGTACTCAGGTAGTCCTATAAAAGACATAGAAGACCTCATTATCCAACTTAATTCAGATCAGGGTTAGATTAAAAAAAATACCACCACACAGGACAAAGAAATTGCCATAAAATTGAGTTACTATAAATGTGTTCCAGTTTAAACAAGCCCTTAAAACGGGCCTGAGGAAAGTCTCCAGTGCACACACACAGGCTCCAGACTCAGGCACACTCAGTGTACAGGTGACAATTAGCAAGTGTGAAAAAGCTACGGACATTCGATGAATGTGTAAATCTAAAGGCGACCGAGTGAAAAGACCTGAAAAGAAGGAAACTGTTAAATCCATTTGTACATGGATTTAACAGTGAAGCATTTCATTCTTCATGTTTTTACTTGGTGTCTTGAAATAATCCCCTTTCTGTCTCCACTCTCCTCTTAGACACTGCGCCTGCCTTATTTATTTATGAAGTCTGAAGGTTAGTCCTACCTGCTGAGACTAATTAGTCCTGTGCTTTGTATCCTATGCAATCCTGTCTGATTAAATGTACACATTTGTTTTACTTCTTTTCAGGCTCCTTCTCACTCTACTTCTGATTTTCTGATTAATATTAAAGTTGGGAGTTCCAGTGATTCTCCTCTGCTGATCACCCTCCCACTCCCCACCACATTTCTATTTTGCCTGCATTTTACTCTTTAGTGTGCAAATGTGGTTGTGCTTTTTTTTTCCAATGCAGGGGAATTCACTGGCCTTGTCAATCTTGGTATTATTTTTAGTAGTCTTCTTTCAGAGACCTTAGCTTATAAAACGGTTTTGCTGCAACCCCAAACTCTAAATATTACATGGCAAATTTGCTTTCTTTTGGACACCTTAGGTGCTGAAAGGTCAACTGAAAAACAGAAGCAGGTGAGACTATTTTTAGGTATGGTGGGATAGCTGACTACATCATGGACACCAGACTGACTGACATCTGGCTGATTTCTACTGATTTAAAAATTCTGGTTCTTTTTGCCCTTTTCATTAAGTTTCCAGTCCACTTGCCATGGCTATTTGCGAGAAAAGGAGTGTTTTGCTCTGTCATCCAGGGACACTGTTTAGGGCACCAGGCCTTTCCCCCTTTAACACAATATTGCTCCCCATTTTAAAGCAAATCAACTGTTTGTTGCGAGGGGAGTGCCTGAAAAGCCACAAATACCTGCCCCAGGTTCTCCAGTACCCTCCCAGGTCTTCCAGCACCATCTAGGTCAGCAATTTCCTGCCGGAGAGGTCTACATCTTGATTATTTGGTTGGTCCTTCCAGGATTTCATTTCAGACCCCCTGGAGAAAGCCTACAGCACCACTCACCACAGGGTTGGTGAACTTTCAGTTTTATTTTCCCTGGAGTGTTAACGCCCAAACTTTTCACCTCCAAAGTCAGAAAGGACTTTGAATCCTAGCTCATTTCCTATCACCTCCAACGTCATTGAAAAAAAAAAAAGACAACATTCATTAAAAAGAACTATGCATCTTTTCTTCAGGATATTTTTTATGTCCCTGACAGACACTCCAGTATTTGATTGGTTTTTGGGAGACAGAATCATCTTGACATATTTATTCTAGTGAGGTTTCACATCTAAAGAAAGGATTCACTATTAATAAACAAAAAGGGGAGGGGAGACCTCGTGGGTTAATAGCCTCTTTCACTGCAGATGAGCAGGAACTTTGCCCAGCTCTCCACTTCCCCAAGCTCTCTCTCTCTCTCTCTCTCAGTGCACGGATGATCTTTCTTTTTGACCACTTCTGTTACGTCCCGCCCAAGGGTGGCTGGCTTCACTGCAGAATTAACCACTAAGCTTTCCCGTTCTCCACAACGCTCTCCTCCTTTTCCCCTTCCTTAAGCCTTATTTCTAATATTTCTAAAGTGCACTTTTTTCTGGGCCTCTCCCCATCCCCGCCCCCCAAGAGGGCTTTCCTTCCGCCTTCCCGGGCTCGGATTCCAGATTCGGTCGCCACCCCCTTCCCTTCTCTCCTACCCCGCATTGTCTTTCGGAAACCGCGCCCCCACCCCCGACCCCCCCGAGCGAGTGCCCGTACCCTCGCCCCGACTCCCGGGCTCGCACACACTCAGCGCAGGCCTCGCCCCCTGCACCCTCCTCCCTCCAGCGTCTCCCCCCTCCCCAGAACAATTGCCCCCACCCCCACCCCTCACGAGACCAGACGGCTTCTCATCTCTAAGACTCAGCTACAATAGAAAGTCACTTCCTTAGACT